CTGCTGCCCCTGTCGGGGAGCCGCCTCCGCGCCGGCTCCCCACTCGCTTCTCCCGCGGCTCCTCAGGGGCAGAGCCGAGCGCCGCGCTGGCTCAGGCCCTGGCGCCGGCAGGGCTGTGTGGCAGAGCCGGTGCCTCTGCTCCCCGTAACCCCCTGTGCTCCCGGAGGGATCGTCTGCTTGAGTGGCGCACGCTGCCTGGTTTGAGGGCCTCCGAGCAAAACCTGTGGCATCAAGTGCCAGTCACAGCCTTGCGGGGCTAGCAGTGATCCATGGTGGTGGGTTCCATGTCTTCTTGCAGTGCCAGTTGTCCTCAGCAGTGCTGGAGAAGAAACAGTTCTGGACTGCAGGTGCCAGGAGGTTGACACGTTTCGGCCCAGGCCTGACACCTCTCTGAGGCAGAGCGAGCACTGTGTTGCATGCAGACCATCTGGATTCCCTGCTCTGACTTTGCAGTCATCCCTGGCAAAGGCAGCCAAGCCTAGTCACGACTCATGCCAAGAGACAGTTAGGACATCCATTCAAGATGAGGTGAGAAGCAGCCTGGGGAACCTGCCCTCCTCCTGTGCCAGCCCTGGCTGCATGGCAAATAGGCAGAATAGATGAACAGCAAATAGCTGGAAATTTAGAGTCTGCTTTGTTGTTGTTTTTTTTTTAATCATATAAATATATTTATTAGTACTCTAGATGCACAGATGGAATTTACAGTCTCTCTCTCTGTCTTGCTTTTTTGTCCAAGGCTAGGAGAGCCGTTGGATACTTAGATAACCTTGAAGTCAACTCCAGGCTTTTCACCCTTCTGACTGAGCATAGCAAACAGAACTTGGTTTCTCTCAGTGAAGTTCAAGCAGCAACTGCTTGGCCTTGTTTCTTTTTCTTGCTGTTGCACTCTGTGTCACACAGAGGACGGTTCTCTTGCCTTCGACCAGATTCCTGCTCTACCTTTATGCCACATAGTTTATTTCTGATGTTAACCTAGCAATGGCAACTAGAATTCAACAGTTCAAGCAGTAACTTTGTCAACAGTATTAAGCATCAGTAGAACCTGCAAATTTGAAACAAACTACACTTCTTCTGTCTCTGTTATTTTCTCTAATACATGCCAAGTCCTAATGACCTATGTCTATAGTTTTCTTTCTGATACTTACCACTAAGAGTTGTCTAAAGAGTTTTCTAAAGCCATACACAGCAAAGCCCTCTTAGGAATTAGGCTGTGGTGTGCAGTGGGGCAATTCATTTTTCTCAAGTAATTCCAAAAGATGAAGGTGTGCTAGTCTACTGCTCTATACAGGTTTTTTGTTCAAGTATCTCTCATTACCATGGCAACTTTAATAGGTAATTAGCTGCTATTTTGTATTTTGTGTTGAAGTTAATGAAATATCATGAAGCATACTGTATGTGGCATGGATTTGAAAAGTCTAGTATTTCCTGATTTTTATTTATTTATTTACTTATATGGTGAGAGAATTGCTAATTCATGTGGGTTGTCTTGTTCCTAATTAATGGTGTGGACTGCTGTAGTATGTATTGATAATTTTCCTCAACCAGAGGTCAATTTGGCTATAAATTGCATTATGTCAGCTTCAGTATTTTTGCGGAATTAAGTCTCATGTGCTTTTAACTTGAGGCAAAGAAGTGCTTTTTACAGACTCGGTTGCTTGCTAGATTTCATACTTTAATAAACCTAATTTCATACCTACATCTCCCTGTGGGATTAGGCAAGGTTATCTTACTCTGATCCACGAGATGTCACCAGAGAGTAACAAGTAACTGAAAGCTTATATTAAATTGGGACTCAGACTATGTGTACTGCACATAGGCGTGCAGCACGGTGGAGCTACGCACTCCTGATGTGGGAACCCCGGGATGCTCCCGGCTGCAGCTTTTTCTGCGCAGAGCCTCCTCTCTTTTCCACACTATTTTGTTTTATGTTCAGTTCTTTAGGGATTTGATGAGAGATCTTGTTGGAGCAATACAGGATGGCATACACCTTTCTAGCTAGCTGTAGTGACAGTAATCATACCACAGAACACTTAGCTACTTGGTGACCAATGGCAAAGAGAAGCTCAGAGTGGATGACTTGTGCATTGAGTGAGTCCCTGAAGCAGGACAGCTGCATATGGCTCTTTTCTCATCCGTTCCCCTGAACCTTCCCACTGAAAGCCACAACTGTTTGGTTTTTTGATTGCTTTTTTGTTTGTTTGCTTGTTTTTTTAGTGTTGCTGATCTGAAATCTTCAATCTTCATTTACTATTTTCAAATGCCTTCCTGTCTCCCAGGAAGCTATTATCCCAGCTACTGCAATTGTTATTAAGGTCTGCAAGGTTTATTTGCAATATTACGAGAGTGTTGCTGTAAGATTGCAATTAAATGAGTTGATCTAATACACTGGTGATGCCAAAAGGGTATTCCATTTCTCTGTCCTCTCTGTGCAAGTCCTCTGATTTTCCTGCCTCCCCTGCTCTAGTTCTAATGATCTTCTGACATTTCAGTGACCAGTTCTGCTCACTAAGCCAGCAGAAAGTTCGATATTTTGTTGGGCGAGTTCTCTGCTGACTCAGTGAGTAAAACGGGCTCATCATGGGGTCATATTAGTAGTAGGAACAATGCAAAGGAGAGAGTGAGGAAGTAATGAAACCCAGCTTGATCTCCTTTCCTGCATGTTTTCTCTCAATATCTCTTTCAGTCCCCTCCCATCTTCTACATGAGTTTCAGTGTGTCTATAACCAGCCAAAATCATTTTTGCAAATTCAAGAAACAGGTT